GAGAGATATGAACCCTTATACTCCCTTCGTTTAAAATAATTGTTCATTTTTTCATTTTGAAATGTCTTAAAAAAATATGTTCCATTCCAAAATTAAATGTACTATTTTTTATAACATTCCTAAATTATTCTTTTAACTAAACAACTGTACTAATTAGGGAATACTATTTTGTCTTTTAATAAAGGCATATTTAAAACTTCACTCTTATTAATATAATAAAAAATTATTAAAACTCAATATCATAAAAAATTAAATTTTCCATGCCAAACACGTATATCGGGACATAGAGAATATGTACCGACTTTTTTTTTTTGTGGAAAATTATATGGTTTCTCCGTAACTTCCTTCTCAGTTGTCCCAGCCTTTCCAATGCTTTTGAATCCGCCGTTGGATGGCATTCTGGTGGGATCAATTCATCCAACCGTCCGGCTCATCCTTGTCGGTGGAAGCCATACAACTAACCAATGGACAATTACTCATCAGTCCTACTTCTAAGCTTCAAAGACAGACAAATCCTATGAAATCTTGCTAAAGACAAATGAGTTCTACTTTTGAAAAATATTTCTATAATAATTCATATTCTAAGAACAGTATTGCCTTTTATAGGTAAATTAGCCTTTTGTTTACTAAAATACGATTTGTTAAAAAAATTAAAAATTAAAAATAAATAATCTTAAAACATTTACCGCGTAATAAAATATTTCAAATAGACTTGTAAACTATGTTTGATACAATAGAAAAATAATAATAATAATAATAATAACATTAATTAGGAAAAAAAAAACAGAGTACAGTGTTAATTATGTTTGGTTGATTAATGTGTGAAAAGAAAATAATGGAGAAAGACAGAAAATGATATTATATAATGAAATTACTATCCTACCACTTTTCACAAGTTGGGTCTTTTATAAAAATATCAAGAATAGAGATAAAATTAGTATTAGAAATTTTTTTTTTTTAAACCTTATGGCCTTTTTCTTTTTATTTCCTCCAACTTTTGGAAGGGTTACAAAACTCACCCCTTCATCTCTATTTTTCCTTTCATTTCCCTCCAACCAAACTGATCCTGTTAAATACCCACATATTAAAATACAATGAAAAACTTTTCATTTAATACATTTATGAATAGCAAACGGATTGTCTCTTTTGTCACTAGGATCACAGCAACCTCCACCAACAAATCCAATAAAACCCAAAACCCCCAAAATTTACAAATTTAGAAGACCAACTACAAATTATATTGAAAAGTATGCAAAGATATTATAACCAACATGAGGGGAAACTAGATAACCCATTCGCAATTGCACCAATGGTACCAGCAATAATCATCAACATAACATTGGCGGATTCTGCAAATGAGAATAGCTTGAAAAATGGAACTATATTGGTGCTCTCATCTTCCTTGCTCTTTTCCATGTTTCTTTGAACTCCATTTACTCCACAACTTCTCTGGGCCTCTTTTTCCAGTGTATGGCTTCTTGATGTGGAGGCCATATCATCACTTCAAATGGCTAAGAATAGATACGAAATAATAATAGTAGTAATAATTTTAATAATTCAATTGAAAAGAAAATGAAAGCTCCATTTCCTAAATTGAAAACCAAATTATCAGAGTAAATGGCAGCTCCATTTCCTAAATTAAAAACCATATCATTTCACTCCCAAAAAAATTGCAGTTTTTGCATTCATGATTTAAATTTTCACATAATCAAGAATTCAATTAGGAAAGTTGCAGATTTTGTACTAAAGAAAATCTGTGCAAATTATTCTCTTATCCCTCATATTTTGACTTTCCTTAAAAAAAATAAAAAAAAATAAAAAACTATGCAAACCATTGCAACCCTCATCAAACCCTAATCACAAAATAAGTTGCTCATAACAAGGATAATACCGGTGTTTCTGAACGCCACAAAAAGTACGATGACGATTTCTTGCAACAAAGAAGTAAACATTGATCAACATCTGTGTGGTACTGTCATACCCCAACCCAATTTATACTGTTTAATAAATTGAATTATTGAAGATTTAGCCATCTACATTAACCTCATACATACATGACGTCATCATACATCAGAGTGCCTACCTAACAATTTAGGGCGTGTTTGGAGGAGCTTCTCAACACCCAAAGTCCTTTTGCTGATAATTCCTTCCTACAAGAAATTTTGCCCAAAGGAATTTAGCACAAAAGTTGTTTGGTGAGTCCACTGTTTACAAGTCATTTAACAATTAATTAATTTTTTATTTGACAAGAATACCCATCTCCTTTTTACTCATTTCCATTCAAACCATCTCCCCATTGTTTGTTGAAAGGCCATAATCTTTCACATCACCACTGTTTTAACATGAAATACGATGTTGAGAGAATACAAAATAATTTTTTTTTTTTAAAAAAAAAAAAAAATTATATTATAACCAACAAAATGATAATGCAGTAAACACAATAAGAAAGAAAATCGTACTCCTCCATCTTCCTTTAAACCCATTAACCTTCTCATTCTATCTCACTAAGCCAACAATCAAAGGCGGAGCCAGAAATTTAAGATTGGGGAGTCCAGATTTGAACTATGTAACAAAAATTTTAAAAACTTATAAATCAATTGTAATATAATTTATTTTTAAATACTGGTCATAGTATATATATCTTAAGAAAATTCAAAAATGAAAAAAATATAACTTGGACAAAAAAAAATCAAATTAATAAATAAATAAATTGATGTTAGAAGAAAATTATGGAGAAGAAATGTAAAGAAATAAGCATTGTTAGAAAATCAAATTTCATTTATCAATTGTTTTAAATTTTTAAAAATCTAATTTTTAGAAGAAGAAAATTAAATAGATTCCACAATTCAACAACATAATGAATTTTAACTCAATTTTTAACCAAAAATAAATAAAAAATTCAATAAGATTATTATTGAGTTATTAAATAAGATACAAATAATTATAAAATTTGTTATTTAGAAAGTAATAACTAAAAGTATATAGATGATATTATTATTGTTATTGAGAGTCTCACAATGCTTTAGTTTATCTTCTTTCTATATATTCCTAGGACTTGCCATTTGATTGTTTTATAATTTTAAATATTTTTCTTGTAAATATCATTTTACAAAAATGTTTGACAAAAAATGCTTCATGCATTTTTACCAAACATGAGAGAACATTAGTTATTTTATTCCTTTTTTTTCTCTCTTGAATTAATATTATAGATATTGTACGTGTATAGATAAATAAAATAACAATGTGTTGAGATAACGACTATAATAATTATTTACCAAAAAAAAAATGCTTATAATAATTATTTACCAAAAAAAATGACTATAATAATAATGAGCTTAAATTTAAGTTCAAAAATATTTAAATTTCAAGAAGACACAAATTAAATTTATATTCAAACTCTTTATTTTGGGTCAAAAATTAGTGGGCCAACTGAAAATTTTAATTAATTTTAGGGACAAAATCTACAAATTAATTAATATTTAAGGGCTATTAATAGAATTTTCAAAAAAATTAGTTGGTCAATATATGTGTTAAAAATATTGGAGGGGACAATTAAAAATTTTAATAGATTTAGAGACAAAATTTATAAATTATTTAACAATTAAGAGGTAGTAAAAAAAAATTTCAAAAATTTTGGGGGTGCCATGGCCCTACTGGCCAACAATGGCAAGAAAGACCAATCGATGCATATATATATATATATCACACACACACACACATATAGATATATACACATATAGACGGGTGTTTATTTTTTTTATCAATTGGAAGCTCCAGAACAATCCACTGCTAGAATGGTTTGATAATACACAATTTCGGCGTTGAAATTATTCAAACGCAAAATTCGTTGTCTTCATCCTTCACGTGCGTAATTTTCATCCCTATTTCAATCTCTAAGGGTGTGTTTGGATAGTATTAGTTATGAGAGAAAAGAAAAGAAAAGAAAAGATAGTTTGATGAGAAAAGAAAAGAAAGGATAGTAATAATTTCTATTTGTGTTTGGATAGAACGGGGAGAAAAGAAAAGAAATGATAGTTATTCTTGTTTAGATAAAATAGAGGGGAGAAAAGAAAAGAAAGGATAATAAACAAATTACTTTTTTATCCTTTCATAATCACGGGACTTGAATGGAATAATAAATCTGTGTATTGATTTGTGGAGGCTAATTTTGGTATTATCAAAATACCACTAAAATCACTATCATTTCTCTCCCTATCTCTCCCTATCTTCTCAAAATTGAGGAGAAAGCAAATGAAAGATAGGGAGGGATAGCTATCCCTCCCTATCCCTCCACTTAACTTACCCAAACACACACTACACTATCCTCTCTTTTCTTTTCTCTCCCTATCCCTCCAAATCAACCCTACCAAACACACCCTAAAAGAACCCTCAATATATAAATTTCATCTTTTAACACATGTGCAAATAGATCCAACATGTCTATATAAAAAGTCTACGAAAATTTACCACCATTTGAAGCCCCTTCCCACTCTCTCATTACCCTCTTCTCTTATGTTCTAATTTTTCAGATTTGTTGCATATTTGAAGAACAAATTAGAAGCATAACATTGTACATAAGTGATATCAAGGGTTGTGCAGTTACATTGCCAGCGACAAGGCGGCAGAGGAAGGAGTGGTGGTGGCCACCTGATCTGGTGGTGTTGGTTCGGTGGCGGCAGCCACCTAATTGGGCGGTGTTGGTTTGGTGGCGGCCAATTTGTTTTGTCATCAGTCGTTAATGGTAAAGCCATAGAGATAATTGAGAGAGAACTTGTAAAAAGATAAGGATAAGATTGTATTTTACAATCACGATTATTCACGTTGGGGAAGTGAGTTTGAAAAGCAACTAAGTGAGTTTGAAAAGCAACTATGAGTTGTTTTTGCTGAACGGGCTTTTAAGGAGTCAGATTTTTATGGAAGTCAGTTTCAAATTTTTGCCAAATAAAAGACTTACTGTGAAACGGGCTTTTTGTGTTTAGAAGCCCGTTTTGGGGTTCAGGAAGCCCAGCCAAATAGGGCCTTAAAATTTAAAACAAACTATGAACCCATTTTAACAAGTTCCGACAAAACTAAATTGTTAATTACAAGTGATACTTTTGACTATACTACAATATTTACATCTTATACAAAAGACTTTTCATTGTTCTGCTCCCCATTCACACCCAAGATTTTAAACCTGGCAGTGGCGACCCAATGTTGTACCTGAAAAACGTATATATAGAAGGAGTAAGCTTAAAACCCAGTAAATGCAATACTATTATATTAGCATAATATAAACAAATATTATCTGACAATTTCAATTAAACTATATTAATATATAACTTTCATCTTTACAGGCATTAAAATATAGTACTCTCCTTCTAGGCTAGAGTATGAACATTATATAATATAGTACTCTCTTTCTTAGGCAAAGTATGGACCTTATATAATATAACACTCTTCTTCCAGGCCAGAATATGAACCTTATATAATATATTACTCTTCTTCCAGGCCAGAATATGGACCTTATATAATATATTACTCTCTTTCCAAGCCAGAGTATGGATCTTATATAATATATTCATGATTCATAACCATTTTCATATCATATCAACATATCCAATACTTCAATTACCACATTCAAGTATAAAACTTCCAGTGAGTACACTCACCTCGAATACTTCCCAATTTCTTTACTTATCCTTTGGTACAGTCGAAGTTTTTTGCTCATTCTCTTTACCTGAACAAAATTGTAATCACCACCCTTTATACAACTTTCAAGTTCATAATTCCATCTAACTATCCATTACTAATTTCATACTTGATTTAGGTCAAATAAGTAAATAATTGCAATTCATACAACACTCATAACCAGTTATACTTATTTCTAAGAGAATTTAATAATAGTCTTCACTTCTAAAATAAATTCCCAATACACAAATATAAATAAAATTTTCATCACAATCATTTATATAAAATCTCAACCTAACATTTTAAAGAGTAAACAATTGTATTAATTAATACAATTTAATAATTAAACTCTCAATTGAGAAACTTTCTACCTTTAGTATCTGCAATTCAGCAAAGGGGATTGTTCCCTTCAGGACTTGATGTATCCAACAAGCGCAGTGACACGAATTCTTGACCAAATCTTCCGATTCTTTTCTTCCTCTTTCTTTCCTCTCTTTACCCGTACGAAATATTCTTCTCTTCTTTTGTTTTTCTTTCCCTTTCTGTTTTCTCTCTTTCTCACACGAACTCCCCTTCTCTCCTCTCTGTTTTTCTATTAAAAAAAATTACTATATCAGCAGATCCGAGAGGTTTCAAAGGTAAGCTTCAATACCCTTATTAATTTCTCTACACCACGTGTCACTTCAGTGATCAATTTAATTCATTTTACTATGACTTATGTGCCGTTGTTGGTAACAGCTTCCAAAAGAAACCTTTTTCTCACTTATCCTCCTAGGCTATGCTAATATGTGCACGTGTATCATACTTGTGTGCTATGTATATTCACCATCTCCTTAGAATAAGCTCCCAGGAAAAATTTAGGTCTTGTTTGGATTGCATTTATAAAAACAGTTTTCAGATAATCAAAATGGAAAACAGTTTTTAGTTTTTTCAGTTTTTCAATTTCCTTGGTTAGGAAAATTATGAAACAGTTTTCGGAGAACAAAAATTCATAAAACTGATTGATTGAAAAGAGTTTTATGAAAATAAAGAATATTGCATATCACTTATTTATTTTTTATTAATTTCTTAGATTTATTATAAAAAATGTGGATTACTTTTAAATATTTTCAAATTAACAAAAAATACACTAAAAATGAAAAAAGACTTGTATTATGGGGTTCTTTCATTCATAACATTACATGAATTCAATGTCTACATACATAAACCATCTCATCATAGGAATTGTGTAGCAAAGAACTACTCTTGTATTCTGGGTTTCTTTCATTCATAGCATTACATGAATTCAATGTCTACATACAGATTGTTCCTTTCAATGAAACAATTAAATAATTTTTTAAAAAAACTACACGAATATGATCCTTTATACCATTCTTTCCTCTACTAACAAATTGGGAATAATGGTTGTTACTATTAATAAAATTTTTATCAGATTGCAAGCCAAAATATAAAGAGAAACAAGGAATTAAAAAAGAAAAAGAAAAAAAGGGGACAAATCCAAGAAAATCAACCAAATCTCAACTGAAGGAAACCCTAATATTCAAGCAAATTTATAGCATAACCAAATCCATAACAACTCTCCTCCAAAACCAAATCCATCCCACCAAATCAAAGATATTAAACCTCAACCCAAATTGGAAGTATGAGACAATGAAAGATTCCCAACAAATCGATTAATGAAATTGTGAAAGAGATGGATAGCTTTATCTGAACATACTCACAGAAAAAGAGATTGATAGCTTTATGTGAATAGAGAGAGAAACCTAGTCAATCGTGAATGAAAAATCTAGTGGATCCGGAGCCCTACAACATTAGACAATAAGACAGTGAGATAAATGTATGAGGGTTGGAAATCTGATATGAGAAAACTGTTACTGTTAAAGAAAGAGAGAGCTAGAGCGATTACACAGAGAAATATGTGGACAACGTTATAAACGAGCAAGAGTTTACGTAATTGTTGTCTGTACTTTTAAGTAGCGTTCAGTTCTCCGTGTTTTCCAATTTTGCATCTCAGTGTTCCCAAAACTCTGAAAACAACAAATTGTTGTTCTCTGAAAACCTTAACTATCTACTAACTCAGTTTTCAAAAAAACTATTTTTATAAAACAGATCCAAGCAAATCTACTCTGCAGTTTTCAAATTTTTGTCACTATAAAAATAGAAAACAATTTCCCTAAGTTCAATCCAAGCAGGGCCTTATTTACTTCCACCTCTATTGCACATACACACTAATGAATAATATAAAGGGCAAATTTATGTAAACCCCCAATACTTTTAAAAAATGATCATAAAACCCCAACCAATTTTAAAAACCCCAACAATATAATAACATTATCATTTTACTCAAACTCTGTCAATTGGGTCCATTAACTCAGCGTCAATTGGGTCCATTAACTCAGCGCGTGGTTAACAATTGCTTTGACAAATTGACTTTTGTGACGAAAATATCCTTGCTGTCACATGTGCCAAACAAGTGATATGAATTTAAATATGTTATACCAAAAATACCCCTAAGCTTGTAATAGTAACCTTGTCCTCCTCTCCGTCTCTAACCAGACCCCCAAGCTTGTAATAGTAAGCTTATATCTTGAATCCTTCCATTCAAGATATACTCGTTCGTGTGTATATATATATATATATATATTTAATTAAGGATATGATGCATAAATGTTAGACTAGGAAGTGCAAATTGAATTGTCAATATCGCCTTCCAAAATAAAAAATAAATAAATGAAAAAACTTCACATCATTTTTCAAATGGCGTCAATGAAACTATTCCATTATGAGTATTTGAAGTTTAGGCACTGACCAAACTCCATAGTCCACACACCTCTCCCCGCTGTACTATCTCTCATCTCTCTCTCTCTAACTTGCCACCCTTACACTACTCACCACCACACCACCACCTGCACACACAGAAAAACACACACATGCACATGACTAAGATGACCTTTCACAAATTAAGCTAGACAACCAGAGACCAAACCCCTAAAGAAAAACGCTTACCTCTTCCCAACTTCTACAACTCTCTCTCTCTTTCAACCCTTAAAGTTAAAAGCTCATTCCCCATTTCAACACCTACTCTGTTACCTAAGTTTCTCTCTCTAAAACACACACAGTGAAAAGCACTCTGTCTCTGTCTGTAGATATATATATAGATATACACATGCATTTATGAGTTGGGTCTCCGGAGGCCTTCTCAGGGTGGTGAATAGGGTGTCTCGTCTCTTAACTGGCGGCGAAGTTCGCCTTCTTCCCGCCGTCGCCACCAACGTACGAGGTGAAGAAGCGTGGCGACGGCAAGCTCGCGGCTGTCTCCACGGCGCTCTCAGTGCCGCTGTCGAGCGCCGACGACAATTCCCTTAATGTCCTGTTGCTCAACACCAAGAGAGACAACAAGATCGTTGCGTTCTATCGGAGAAACCAATATGCTCGCCTCACTCTACTCTACTCCTATGGCAATGCTGCTGATCTGGGTCAGCTCTACAACCTCTTCCTTCAGCTCAAGGCTAATCTCAAAGTCAATCTTATTGGGTATGTCTTCTTTATTCTGATGTTCTTAATTTTCACCTGTAATCCCTTTTCTCTCACTTTCTCTCTCTATATGTATATATATATTAGGTTTCTCTCTCCTTCTGTAGCTATCTCTTTCTAATCTCAACTGGGTTTGTGATTTTATTTTGATTTTTGGCGTGGTCGTGGTTCTAGATATAGTCAATCTCATTCGGTCGGTGTTTTTGCTCTAATCTTCTCAATTTTCAATTCTAACCCCTTCTCTCTCTCTCCTCTCTCTCTATATATGTTTTGGGTTTTCTCTCTCCTTGTGTAGCTATCTATCTATCTAAAGGATAATATTGTAATTTCAAAAGTATAATTTTTTTGGTTTTTTAAATAAAAGGAAATATAATAAGGGTAATTTAGTCATTTCACATACCTTTAACTATGATACCCCTCGGATCCGAGACACGGGTTGATCAGGCCCAGGCCCAAACCCGAGGGAATATCAAACAATTAAAGTATTTTAAAGCGAACACAGATGACAAAATGAAACAAAAGTGATGGAATGAAACTGAAAGTAACATTAATTATAAAATCCTCCATGTATAACTGAAAATTTGAAAATCCAATCCTCCAAAACTTCAAGGTTACAACTTGGGAATCCACTGATGGACCCCTAACCAAAAGTTCAACTGAAACTGAAAACTAAAAATAGATAATGCTAGAAATATCGAGAAAAGTCCTACGTAATCAGATGAAGGTGAGACTGTCCTCGACAAGCACGATCAAGCTCTAAGGCTGGAACCGTCCTGTACCTGAAAAGAATAATAAAGGAGTGGGTCAGACCCACGAGCAAGTTCTAATCTAACTGCAATCCATACAGTGACCCGATACACAGATACACCGTAGACACCTCCCAATATCTATCTAGTCCATACGTATAAATATATCCACACTAAGGGACATTCACTAGTCTATAATAGGGGTCTCAACCTGAATAGAAGGCAACATGCGAATACGCACCCAAAGGTGGGCATGAGTACCTAGACCTAACAGGGTACACCTCAACCTATTATAACCAGCTACGCATCCACTGCATATACGCACCCTAACCAACGAGTCTGAGACTCAAGCTCAACTCGTGGTACCATAACCATATATATAAAGTCCGTCCAAATTCAGGGTATGCAGTTCAACTATTTATTAAACTGTCATACAATAAAGCAACTAGTTAGTCATTCAACTTATTCAGTTGATATGACTTAACTATCATCCGTTAATCCAGGAAGTCATCCAACTTGTTTACAGCTGATCTGACTTAGTCACAATTAGGATTCGATATCTTTCAATCCATTCCATTAATCCATTAGGTTAGGTTTATGCGTTTTGATCTAAACCGTCCCTAGTATGTCACCGTCCCATACCGGTACATACCATCATCCATATCCATGTAAATTACCACATATATAACAGTTCAATAATTTACAGACCAAAAACTACCATCCAAACAATTGCAGAAAAATATTTAAAGCTTCAGCAATTTAAATCCAAGCATTTAACCATATAGTTGAAGGAGACGATTTAACAAATCAACAACTAACATCCAGAGCATGCATAGACCAAATTTAATATGTCAGGGACTCCATCATGCATGTGAATAGGTTAAATAATCCTATTATTAACCAATAAATTGCTAAAACAATTCAGAAGATTATTTAAATATTTCAGCAGTTTAAATCCAAGCATTAACCATATAGTTACAGTAAACAATTTAATAATTCAGCAACTAGCCTCCTAAGCATGCATAGATCAAAATTAATAATTAAATGACCTTATCATGCACTTGAATGCATTCTAAAACAAGTTTTATAAACACATTATGTTCCATCAAATTGCTGAATTTTAATTCAACAATTAATTCAACTTCCATTTGTTAAGTGCCTTAATTTTTACACTGTTTGTCCCGACAACTTAGAATTAAACTTTACTCAATTTAGGGTCTTAATAACACTCAAAATTCATTCCTTGATCCCTCTATAAAGTTCCAAATTCATTCAAACAGTCTCCATGCTCCAACAGTGAACATAGTATGTAGAAAATTAAAAAAAAAAAACGTAAAATAAATCAAAAATAACAAGGGAGCCTGCTCCAGAATTTGGAGCAGGCTCTTTTCCAGCCTAGAGCCGGCTCTAGGACTCCCTAGAGCCGGCTCTACTTTATTGTGGGAGCCGGCTCCCACTTCTATGGAGCCGGCTCTCATCTCCTTTGAGAGCCTTCGTCCCCGGTGCGTGTTTCAGCTCTTGTGCTCCTTCTCCGGCTTATTCCTAACCCTCTGTTAGTTTTTAAAACCAAACTTAGGTGTCATATTAATACCCAGTAGCATCCCAATGGCTTGATAACAACAATTAAAACAATTACAGAGACTAAATTTGCTACCGAACTAACCTGCGTTAGGAACAAAACTGAAATTATAATTCTATTCCAACCTCTCTGTTTCTCTTCACAAACTGATCTTAGGAGTCTTATAACATCCCATTAACATCCCTAGGGTTTGTTTACAGAAGATAGAGGCAATAATCATAACCAAAACTCAACAGATTTTTAATATGCTTTAATGAACAGAACAGGAAGCAACAATACACGAACTATAAACAGATTTGGATTCAATGCAAACAAATCATCAACAAGCATACATTGAACACATGAGTTTCATTTACTAATTAGTTAATCCCTAGAGACTATCTAGGTGCACAGAACACGAGCCAAAGGGAAGGAGAAAGAGAAGAACTTGCATGTACAGTTTTATAAACAGAACCTTGTCGCTGTTGTTCTAAGCTTTCCGGTAACCACTGACTACCTTCTAGCCTCCTCTGGTTCTGATCTAATCCACCAAACACCTCCCTTGGTCCTCTCTGTTATTCTCCTTGACAGACCGTTACGATGCTCTGTTCTCTCAACTCCTCTCTTTTCTCTCTCTGTATCTTTGGTACGTGAATAGGGTTTTTGTTCCAACCCTTGATACAGAGTAACCATATATATATAGGCGTAAAAACATATACCCTAATCTGTGTTTAATCAGAGACAGAGCCCTAATTCTAAACCTAGTCGGCCCATGAAACTACTTTTGTTATGGCTTACCTAAACGTGAAATTTCCAACCCCAAAGTTAACTGTAACTTAAAGCAGAATTAAATGAAAAAAACAATTACATAATTAAATCCACTTAACTAATTAATTCCAATTAAAAACTCAATTAAATAATTAAAAACACTTAATTCAATTTAAAACACATGACACATAGGTAAACAATTACATCAAAATAATAAATAAAAATAATTAATCCAAATAATCATGCAAAAAGACCATAAAAATAATAAATAAATGCTGAGACTATCCTTTTAAAATTAGGAGTATTACATTCTTCCCCCCTAACAAAAGGAATTCCGTCCTCGGAATTCGCCCTTACCTTCTTCCAATATTTCAGGAAACTGCGAGCGAATGACATCCTCCCGTTCCCAAGTGGACTCGGCCGCATTGTGATGACTCCACTGCACACGAACCAAAGGGATAACCTTATTGCGAAGGATTTGATCCCGACGGTCAACAATACGACATGGTGGCTCCAAATAAGTTGCATCCGGC